CCTGAAGCATCTTACATGTTTAATAATGGTAAATGCTTTGATTTACCATTCGACGGAATATTCTCGTTATATCTCCTATATCTTATGTAACAATCGACCGTCCTTTTCTGACATCAACTGTAATGCAACGGTTCGCCATGTCCAGTAGTCCTGCCTACAGAACCAGATTACATGTAGCATACACGACTTGGTCTCCACTTCCATCAGTAAAGGACATGCTTCCCACTCTCATGAGATATGTGTTTTACGTTACACAAATTTCGGTTGGACGTATCGGCGATCGCAATGTTGACTGCGTGCTTATTGTCGACAATTAAAATTGTGCATAAGTCGCATTTATACGCGAATTATAGAGTAGGCTCGCATGTGACGTACTGAGGTTTATTTGGGGGCGTATGATGTGTTGTATTATTAGTTCTTGACTGTGGTATTCTACTGGAAAGATAAGTGTAAACGCGCATGGTCAAAGAGACCCACGTCACGACAGAATGTGTCGGTCACTGTGGGTAGGTGAGGTTTGTGCGGTGGATGCATGTTAGGGTCCCTGATACTGGTTTTCCCGTTCCAGTTAGGTTGATTCGAGATTAACGGAACAAAACAGTGCGAGATTTGACTACCTGTAACAGTACAGATAAGGCGCGACCGGTTTATTGGGCTCGTAGTACAAACGAGGCTGTTAGTGGCGGAAATACCGGTAATTGTTGAGTTGGAAGTGCTGGCGGTAGTATTTTTTAAAAGTTTTAGAGATATTTCTATCAAGATAACAGTGCGAAAATTTTCGCTATTGTGGATGCGCATATGACCGAAAATAAACCTGCGATGCTTGAATGCTCTAGGGCATTGTGCGCATGTGAAGTACTTATAGATTGAAAGCGGATTCATCCTTCCAAACTGTGGCTTAGCCGACGGTTCAAAGATTGATTGTGTATCTTTCGCAGAAATGACTGTTCGTCAGGAGTTGTTTGGCACTAAATGAATCGAAATCACCTGGTCCCGATGATATTCCGCCCAAATTACTGAAAGAACTTGCCGAGGAGCTAGCAAAACCGCTTTTCATGCTTTTCAATACATCGTTTGAAGCTGGTTGTTTACCCGCCGATTGGAAATTTGCACGGATCACACCATTCTATAAAAGCTTTAAAAATTTACCGCAAACAATTAAAGACCAATCAGCCTTATTTTGATCTGTTGCAAAATTTGGAAAAAGAAGTATAACGAGAGCTGATGTGCTTCCTAGAGCAGCAGAACCAACTATCAGGTGCGCAACATGGATTCTGCAGAGATAGGTCCTGCGTGACGAACTTGCTCTATTGTTCGGAACGTTAGACCCGGGCCATTGATGAAGGAAATCTGCTTCATGTAGTATATATTGTCTTCAAGAAGGCTTTCGATACTGTCCCACATCAACGGCTTTTGCACAAACCCACCCAGCTAGGTGTAAGAAGAAATCTGCTGAAATGGATTCGAGGCTTCCTACTAGGCCGTTCTCAAACTGTCCATATCGGTGACCAGCAGTCGGCAGAGATTGCTGTGGAGAGCGGTGTTCCCCAAGGCTTTGTCCTTGGCCCTTTA